AGCTATAGTTCCGGCGTTTTTACATAAAAAAAATCAAAAGAAAACGCCGGAACCCATAGTTCCGGCGTTTTATATAAATAAATTAAAAGAAAACGCTGGAACCTATAGTTCCGGCGTTTTTATATAAAATAATTAAAAGAAAACGCCGGAACCCATAGTTCTGGCGTTTTTATTAAAAAAAATTAAAAAATATGCCGAAAGCAATAGTTCCAGCATTTTTGTATAAAAAACCTATTAGTTCTGGTGTTTTTTGTATGTAAGAAAACACCAAAACTGAATTGCGGAATTACGGGCTACTAACCGCAATTCAACTTCAAAATCCGCAATATTGCGGAATTTGAAAATCATTTGCGGACCCATCCTTACCTAGCCCTATCTTCATTGATATATGGTGTTTGATTATTCATATAAAGGTCAAATTTTCCTGTCATATTTGTTAACATACTAAACGCCTTATCCATTTTGGCTTCAAAATTGTCTAATCTTTGTGTATTTCCTTCTTGACTACTTGGGGACGAAGGTGATATACCCAACATGGTAGATGGTTCATATATAAACTTTTCTGTCTCAACTGTTTTATTTACTTCGTTATCTTCTTCCATAAGAGATAATGTACGAGTTTGTGCATTTGGCAAAACATTCTTTTCAATATATACATCACGTGTTTGTTGAAATTTTTTTACCCTCTTATTATTATTATTCATGAACGTATTATCATCTTTAGCAAACCTTAGATCTATTTGTCTATTACTCAACATCTCAGCTTGATTAATATGATTAATTTCTAGATTTGAAACCCTCTCATTCAATCTCTGTATCATATTCATGAATTTTTCCATCTGTCGTTCCAATCTATCCAGCCTATTACCCTCATTATTAACTGGCGTAGGATTAATATTCTGTTGATTCCAAGGTTTTCTTACTGGTTCTCGTGTCTCTTGTTGTTTTCCTTTTCCTTTGTAAGATTGAGATGTACCTTGACTTGATGTTAAAACATTTGCTCGTACATTAGGTACTGTCTTAATTTTCTTTGCAGCCTCAGCATAACTTGATGGACCTTGTAATGGCATTTCTTGTTCTACTTGCTCATCCCAATTGTGCATATCTTCTGACTCATCAGACTGATATTGTGAATTTCTAGGGAATAATGGTCTAAATCCCATACTTGGTCTGGGTGCTTTTACTCCGTATCTACTATAAATCTGTTGATACACTTCGTGTGTTGATGTCAAGTTTCTTTTCCTTTGATTTTCTGGACATGTTCTAACTCGATGATAAGGAGAACCACATACGTGGCACGTGACTGCATTATAATTAACAAAAACTAAACCTCGATTGTTGAAAGAGAATTTTTTTTCCAGTGCATTATTAAAGTCGTTCTCATTATCAAAAAAGACAAATGCAAACCTTTCTTTCTCATAATTTTTTGAAAACCTATTCTTAGGTACGAAACATGATTTCGCCTTCATTTGTATAATAATATCTTTCAAATCTGCAGCATATGTACCTACAGGTAAATTAGCTAATTTCAACCTATATTTAAAACGTAAATTCCTTTCGTCCTTGGTTAAATTAGATGGAAAAATCCTAAATGCGTACTTGCAAAATCTCAATGACCATAAGTCTTTAAATTTTTCTTCTACTTGTTTACCGTTGAATCTAACTACTACTTCATAGTATAAATTTTTTACATTAAATTTGAGGGTCCAAAACTTTTCAAGTATACTTCTAACATCTGCTTGTCCACATCTAGTGGAACATCCCAGATTTTAATTTCATAATCATTAAGATTATCATGTTTCTGATTGTTGATTACTTCCAATTTAGCAAATCTTATATCATTATCATCTGCAATTTTCTTGGCACAAACTTCAGCCGCTTGTGCTTCCGTTTCGTATGTTGCTCGAATCACCTTAATACCTTTAATGGAAGTTGGTGCCAATGAAATTAGCCCAAGTACATCCAAAATTTTCCTATAGACAAAATTTTTCTTAGCAATAATATTATCGCCTAGAAGACTATCTTGAGGGATAAAGATACTAAAACGTTGAGTCTTTTTAATAATAGTCCAACCATCGTCTTTCTTTGCTTCTTTAGAAGTTGTATTCTGACCAGGGTGACTTTCGTTAGTTTGAGTATGCATAGAGGCCTCAAGCCCTACGTTAGTATTACTATTCGTCTGTATAGGTTGCTGAGCTATCAAAGAGCTCGTCGAAGCAGTTGAAATACTACTTCCTGAAGGTTGGGTAAATTCTACCCCTTTCATATTACTCTTCCCAAATTCTATAATGAAAAAACAATATTTTCTATGACTTTAAACGATAATAAACGAAAAATATTTCTTCAAACTACTAGTGCGAAATTTGTGACCAAACGATCGGCGGGAAGAGTTTCAATTTTAACGTTTATATGATATATATATAATACCCCTTAAAAATAATTATATATATAATCGTTACCCACTATAGTAACAACCGAAAAAATGAATCATAAGATCATTACCCATTTTATATAATAACAATCTGGCCCTTACCCAATTTAACAAAAAACCTAAATCGCGTTTATAATAATATTACCCGACTTAAGCAATAACAATTTTTGATTTTTTATAATAACTTTACCCAGTTTACCGGTAACCTTTATATGAAGTTTCCGGGGTCCTATATCATTACTTTCTCTTCATTTTCAATATAGCCTTATAGTATTTTATATTTTTTTGTAACTTTCTAATCTTATTCTATTTATTTTAATTTTCTTTTCTAAATATAATATATTTTAAATATTCTTAATGTTTCAACCTGATCGAATAAATTATATGCTGTAGTATCTAAAATTATCCAATTCCAGAACTCTGTAAATTTTCGATCTAATTCTCTATCATATCATGATATTGGACCAACTGAAACCTTATATTTATTGAATAGCAATATTTAATAAGTATTAAAATTTTATATTTATTAAGCAATAAATGCTTAATATATTAATTAAGTACTAAATTTTAATATTTATTAACCATTTAATTTTTTAAGCATTTTATTAGTATTTTAAGTAAATACTTAAATGCATTTTACCAACATACCTTATATTTAATAAGTGCTAATAATAAATATTAATAAATTACTTTGACTAGCATTGTGATGCACCTACTATGTAACAATATTTTTGTAGTTTACATATATTTTGTAAAATATTATAAAATTGGATTTTATTATCTATAAAATAAATCCTTTTTTCTTTATTATAATTATAATAATTTTATTTGATTTTCCATATAATATAAATTAAACTATATAACTTATAGTAGGGTTTACTTCTATAACTAATTGATTATACAAGGTTTGTTACTTTTCTTGTAATCTCATCTTTATTACTCTCTATTATTTCTTCAAAAGAAATTATAGTTTTAGATGTATAACTGCATTTAAACAATTTGCATATACTTCAATAAGATCATGTAACTAAAAATGGGATGTGCCGTTTTAACTATCACCATTCACATGACTGCCTTATTCGCGTTGTTTATATTTATCTCAGCAACTTAGTTTTTTTTGAGTGGTCTGATGCTTATTTGTCATCCTTTTGTAAATATATACAAATTGTTTGAATGCTGTATAACTATTTTCGTAAATTTGAATTTTTATTTTACATAAGATTTTTCAAAATTTTAAAAATTCTTTTATTAATTACTATTATTGGATAACATTTTCTACACACAAAGTTTAAAACTGGATTTTCTATATGTGAAGTATGATTTTGTGTATTATGTAATGTTTTATGTTGTAACCAATGATTATATATATCTGACATTTTATATTTTATAAAATTCTCAGAATTTGGATTTTTAGGTTATATTTATATTTTCAAATTATTTCAATATTTTTTTTAGACTTTTAGATCTTTTACCTATTTTGACTATTTCTCTAATTATATTTTCTTTCAGGTTTATTAATTTTTTATAATATTCATTAGTGTTTCTTTCATATCTTCTTAAATCCTTCTCTAATTTTCATTCTTTTTCAATTTTCATAGTCTTTTTCAGTTAGTTTGAGTTTTCTTCTAATCTCAATTATTTTATCTTTATAATAAAATATGAACCTATTGTTAAAATAGAAATGTGGCGCAGTAATTTTATGTAGACTTCCCCTGCGTACCCTTCAAAAAATGTCACGAAATGTGGCGTGTGGCGTGTGCCACGTGGCACATGGCTAATCTAAATTTATTGTAAGACACGTATGAAATTAATGTTTCCTATACTATGTCATAGGCAAAAATAACAATATATTTTTTCGAAGCTATTGTTAAAAAAGTTTTTTTCCTTTAACTCAAAACTTAAAACTAAGGATTATTAAAAACGCATTTTTTTATATATATTGAAACCAAAAAAAGACGGTATAACAATTTATTTAGCTATAATATGCTTGTTTTAAAATGTATTTATTTGTTTAATAATATTGTTATAGTACTTGATACATAGATATGCAGACGTCAAATGTTAATAATAATGAAAGTGCAGTGAAAAAATGATGTTCAGGCTGTAAAAAAGATCAGGATGAACAAATGTTTATCGATGGAAAGGCTGTTTGTGCAACATGTTTTAACTGCCGATCAAGTAATAAAATGCGCGAAAAACAATCTCGCAATCCATCACGATCAGAAAATGAAGAGGGTAATGAAATATTTGAAAAGCCATTAATAGAATTTGAAGAACCAACGGATGAATTATTATTGGCAATGAATGAACATACAAGTTCATGTGATAAAGAAAACTTGGAGATAGAACATGCCACAAGTTTCAATTTTGAGAAAATAATTACCGTATATAGCGGGCCACAGTACCCCGAGTATCTTGCAAAAATCGGGGTTTGACCCTGTACCCCCGGGTACTAAACAAAGCCTAAAAATTCCATTTTTTGCGAATATCTCACGATCTACCGGTCCAATTTGAACGATCATTTTTTTATTTTGAAGAGCTCAATGAGAGCTATCAAACAAAAAAAAGATGGCTCAAATCTGATCACTAGATCACGAGATAATTGTAAAATATCCCCCCGGGTACTATACAATTCTATGAAATTTTTCAAGGGGGGTACTATGCATAGGGGGGGTACTATGGCCCGCGATATACGGTAATACTAATTCACTTTCTGGAGATCCAAAAACTATTGCAGAGATTATTATTGAAGCAGTTCAAAATGCAGATGATTATAAATGGATGTACGTATTGTATCTAAATCAATTTTTTAACAAGTTCATTCTATAACCAAAGACTAATTTATTATTATTATTAGCTATAATAAGCATTATCAACAAAAAAAAACTATCACCAGTTTTTGGTATACATGTGCTCAGCGCTGTATTACCTTAAAACCATCTCGAAAAAATCCTGATCCTAATAAACAACATAATACGATTCCTAGAGACTAGAGAGCGATTTGATTGTAATGGAACAATCAAACTGCATATAAATTTACATCATGCTTATATTCACATCCAACATAATGATCTTCATATAGCACCAACAGATTTTTCCGTTCCTGATTGGGTTAAAGACTATATTTTGCAAAATTTAGATTTATTTCCACAAGTAATTTATGTACAATTGATCAAACAAGAGATGCCTACATTTATACGACAAAAACAAATACATTACTGGTGGTCCCAATATATGACTAAACAGTATAAACGAAAGGATGATGCTTATGATTCTGCACATGACTGGCTGTATGAAAAAGGCTATGAAATTATTGTTGTAAATAAAGAACCAGCATGAGCACTTGGGTTTATAACAGGGTTCCATAAAAAGTTACGAGAACAAAATATTCAAATTAATGAATGTGGTATTGATGCGACATGTAAGTTTATTTTATTATTTAATTTTATTACTAAAAACATTTTCTTATATTAATAAATTTATTTGTAGATAATACAAATAATCTTACTTTTGAATTATACGTATTACATGCGGAAGTTGATGGCACAGGGTATCCACTTGGCTACCTATTTTTAGATAATAATGGAAATGGAGTTTCAGGTGCACGGACAAACATAATTACCAGATTTCTGAAAAAATTTCGAGAATATGGAATTTTTCCTCAATTTTTTTTAACCGATAAGGATTTTGCACAGATCTCAGCGGGACAAACAGTTTGGCCTAATGCTAAAATTCAATTATGTCATTGGCATCTTCGACGAGCAGTAGAAACTAAATTAAAGGACACACACCTTCCAAAACGAGATAATTACGAACTAATGGCAGCAAATCACGAATTTTCATTCATTGATATTTAAGGTTGCTTGCCGAAACCTAGGGGTTTAGGCAAGATGGCGTTTCGCCGAAAAGTGAAATTCTGCTGAAACTATATTAAAGTTATATTAAAAAACTGGCGAAACTTTGGAGAAAGGCGAAACTGCCGAAACTTATTATAAATGCCAAAACTGCCGAAACTCTGCTGAAACTATAATAAATCTATAGTAAAATTTTGACGAAACTAATCGTAGGATTTTGAAGAGGTTTAGACAAGCAACCTTATTGATATTGAATTTAATCCTTCTAATACCATATATAATAAACCAACAAAATTTTGTCCCAAAGTATTTCGATCTCATATTTGGAATTTAATGAATAAACATCTTCATCAGCATCCTTTAATTCCAGATATATCTCAACAAAATTTAACATCTGATATAATTAGAAAGCAAGCAGTTTTAGAAATGTATACTTTTTGCAAGGAGAATTCACTTGTACGGGTATGGTCATATATGTGGCGAGAATGGTATTCTAAGGATAGATGGGTGCTTTGGGCGCGTTCAGCATTTAATACTCTATCTATACTAAAAACAACAATGTTCGTAGAGGGACATTGGAAAGTCCTAAAAAGGGATTTTTTATATAAGTTTTTTCGCCCACGGTTAGATCTTTTAGTATATATATTACTTGAAAAATTAATTCCTCATCAACAATGCAAGTTTGAACAACAGCTTTCTGGACGTGAAATGCTAGATTAGAGAAAATCAATCAAGTCAGAATGGAAAAAACTAGCTTAAAGACAACCAGACATAAACAATTCCAGCAAATATTACACTAATATTGAAAATTGGGTTTGCGGATGTCTATATTATCTTACAAATAGATTTATGTTATGTAAACACCTTGTAAATTTAAAAGGACCAGTTGATTTTTCTTTATTCAAAATTCTTAGACGCAATAATCAACTCCCTTTTCTAATTTTAGATAAAACTTGTGATATGTATGAATTAAATATGCGTATACATACTGATAGTGAAGAAATGATCATACACATACTGATAGTGAAGGAAATGATCATACACATACTGATAATGAAGGAAATGATCATACACATACTGATAATGAAGGAAATGATCGTACACATACTGTTAGCGGAGGAAATGATATTCATATTAATGATCAAGAAACAAATAATACTAATGAGAGTGATATATTTGAAAACCTTATAGATATAATACAACAAACACTTAATTTACTTGAGGAACAAAAACGATCAAGAAATATTCTTTGGGCTCAAGGAGTCAAGCGAAATTTTAATCAAATTAAGACCATGGTTAATGAAATACATAAGTATAAACGCCGAAATACAATGCCACGTACTTGGAAGGATCATACTCATAATACTCGTTATTTGAAATAATGTAAGTAATTTAATTTATTAAAATAATATTTTCCTTTACAATAATTGCTAGCATTAATAACTAAAAGAAATGCCATTTCTTTTTTTTTTCAGATTCTTGAGCATTTCTTAAATGAATTGAGTGGTAAGTTTCTTTAGATAAATGTGTGGCATATAGTGACATTTATAAAATTGCTAATGTTATTTTTTCTTTGATTTTTAGGTTTTTACTAGATGTTTCTTAGACAAGATGAATGGTAAGTTTCTTTGAGTGATGTAGTATATAGTGGCAAATGTCATTTCTTATAAGTTGGTTACCTTGTTATTGGGAATATTTGGGAAATTAATTGAAAAATTGGGTCGTTGTAAGGATTTTTTATACAATATTAAATGTCGTGAAACTGACCGCAATCTGTCAGCTTTTTTATCATTATATGGGGTTTATATGATGTGATAATATTGCATTATATAGTTCTGATAGGTTATACTGAAAAAAAAATAAAGAATGCGAACTTTTATAAAAAAAATAATGAAGTTGTAAGTTATGAATAATACTTTATTTTTAATTTTTGTAAACGCGATAGAAAATTACAAATATTTACTTAAAAATAAAAGTAAAATATAATAGAACAATTAAAATGAAAAAAAACAAGCCGGCTTTTTTTAAATTTATAATAAATAAAACAAGTCTTTATTTGCAAAGGTTTTTTTCATTTTTTTTTTCGTTAGATGCATATAGATATTCTATAGCCAATCATGTTTTGTTTATCTCATGATTGATCAGCCACACGCCACATTTCGTGACATTTTTTGAAGGGTACGCAGGGGAAGTCTTTTATGTAGATCAATTTTGTAGATCATTTCATACTTTGCTAAAAATGACACTTTTTTTGGCATATATTTTTAATGTTTTGGTAGTATTTCAGAAGCATTTATGTAATTATTATATTATTTTGTAATGGTAAAGTATATTTGTATTATTTTTGTAATGTATTTCAAAATAGTTTACAGCATCGGGAAATTTTTTGGGGAGCAGATCTGCGCAGATTTTCAGAAATTATATCTGCTCAGATCTTATATCCTGGCGCAAAACATTAAAGTAAAAATCCAATAAAAAACTGTGCAGATTTTAAAAATAATAAAGTTCTGCGCAGATTTTTAAATAAAAAACCTTTGAAATACCTCAGCAATTTTTTTCGGTAAAAATCTGCATCACAATAATACAAATTAATTTATTGCATTAATTACTAATTTATTTATATAATCAAAATTACTTTTTTATTATTATTATATATTAACAAGTTTACAAATACAATTGAAATCTATTACTAGTCATTGCTATTTATCATCTCTTTACTGCACATTTACATGTTGTTAATGGTTTGGATATTGTTCCAGTTGGTTTGATTCCAACAAACAACAAAATAAAATAGAAAATCAGAGATGTTTGTTAGAAATAAGAAAATCATTTCAAAGTTATTACTTTCGAAATGTTTGACACGAAATCTCAAGATCTAAAAAATAAAGTAAAATGAACGTTAGTAGAACGTTCGTTAAAGAAGAATAAAAAAAAAAAATTATAAAGAATTTTGAAGATATACCTTCAAATTCTTTCGTCCAAAAGCCAGAGAAAAAAACCATACAGAAAAAAACAACTGAAACGTTAGTAAACGTTTCGCAAATTAAAAAACATGAAAGAATTTCGAAGGAATTTTACCTTTGAAATTCCGTCCAGAAGCCGTAAACCTGCAAAAAGTAAAAAGAAAAGACAAACGAAACGTTAGTAAATATTTCGTTAAACATTAAAAAAAAATTAATTTCGAAGGTAAATACCTTCGAAATCCTGAAAAAATCTCCAAGTCTGGTTCATCTAAAGAAGCCCAGCGTCCCTATATAAAGAAGAAAGAACGTTAGAAACGTTCTTTGAAAAAAAAAATAAATTTTAAAGTTTTGCAACGAGAGTTGCGAAACTTACCATTTACCCATTTCGGGAACCTTGGAGTACCAAAACCTACAACAAAAAAGAAAAACAAAATGTTAGCTAACGTTTCATTTAAATAAAAACAAAAAAAAACAGAATTTTGAAGGTTACCTTAGAAATTCTGTTCAGGAGCGTCCAGAGAGCCGTGTTCCTACAAAATACAAAAATGAACGTTAGAAAACGCTTCGTTAAGTATAATTATTAAAAAAAAATTTTTTCAAAGGTTTCACCTTCGATATGGGAGACCGAACTCATTTTCGGCTTCCTTTACCTAAAAAAAATAAAATACGAACGTTAGTTAACGTTCGTTTAAATAAAAAATAAAAAAAAATTTCAAAGGTTTTACCTTCGATATGGGAGCCCGGAATTCGTTTTTGGATCCCTTGCCTAAAAAAAAAGGAAATAAGAACGTTAGTTACGTTCGTCAATAAATTAAATAAAAAAAAATTTTTTTTTACGAAGATTTTACCTTCGTATGGGAAAACCTTCGTATGGGAGTCCAAGTTTTCAGCTTCCTTTATCTAAAAAAAAGGAAATACGAACGTTAGTTACGTTCGTCAATAAATAAAAAAGAAAAAAAAATTTCGAAGGTTTTACCTTCAATATGGGAGTCCGGAACTCGTTTTCAGATTCCCTTGCCTAAAAAAAAGAAACACGAACGTTAGTTAACGTTTGTTAATAAAAATATTAAAAAAAATAAAATTTTCGAAGGGTTTTACCTTCGATATAGAAGTCCAGAACTTGGTTTCGGATTTCCTTGCCTAAAAAAAAAGATGAAACGTTTGTTAACATTTTGCTAAATAAAAATATTAAAAAAAATTAATTTTTTCGAAGGGTCTTACCTTCGATATGGGAGTCCAGAACTTGTTTCAGATTCCTTTGCCTAAAAAAAGAGACACGAAACATTAGAAAC